GCAAAGGAAATCACCTTTCCTTGGAAAAGATCATACAATTCCTGCCCTGTCGTTTTTTCATGGAGAGAAGTACCTTTTTTAAAATTCGATTTTGGGCTCAGCTTTTTTTAACGGGCAGTGTCACCTTTCATAGCATGTTTATGGGTTGTTTTTTTAACCAAACCAAAAGGGTTTTTAAGTAAGTGCATGTATGTATGTGTACATGTATATTCCCTCTCAGTTAGCTGGGCAAGGATGGATGGCAGGTTCCAACATTGGTAGGGCTATATCAGTGGTGGATTGCAGGCGGTACGCCCCAGTACGAGCGTACCCGAGCCAGCCCGGAGCACCGGATATCATTCCGGTACGGTGCTCCGGAGGGCCTGCCCGAGCTCCTTACCTGTGTTTTAGGGCTTCCGCGGAAGAGCTGAAACATTGCAGAGGCACTAAGACACATGCACGAACTGTGTGCGTCCATGAGGACGCTGCCGGGCCCGTTCCAACCGTACCAGTTGGAATGGGATTTGAAACCCACCACTGGGCTATATGTGGTTCCCCCCTTCTTTAATTGCATTAACACTGAAAAACCAGCATGGTTGTAGTCCTGCTTGCCTGATCTGACAGTAAATTGTATTTAATTCAGTAGACCCTTTCCTTCTATAGAATTGTATGAAAAGAACAAAACATTCCCTTCCAAGATTGATCATTTAACTGGTCTGATACTAACATTGAAACAATCAGAACTATCCTCCTGGTTTGCCCAATCTGTCATTCCTGGAGAATAGAATTGATAAACCCTCTTAATTGCAAAATATTTCAATTGGCACCAGCACAAAAGTGCACTGTATCTTTTGTGGTCACAAGATATTGGACCCAATTGCAATTTACCCAGTATAAAAGTGATAAATCTCTCATTTCCTTCAGTTACTGTATTCAACTCCCATTCTTTTCTTTTTATTTATTAATGTTAATAATGGTTTTGTTTGCTTGTTTGGGAGGAACAGTATTGCATCACTTGGGAGTGGCTGCAAGGATGTAACTTCCTTTTTGGTGTAGGGTTACTCTTAACAGCATTGTTGTCAGGTGTGAAAGCTCAGGCGCACATGGGAAGGACCAATTAAACAGATTTATTGCTAATCATGCCTACACAGAGGAATCTTCTCAATGAACTGCTAGGAGCTAAATAAGGGTCAACCGAATTCAAGGGAAGTTGGATTTAGTTTGTTTGTGACTATGCAGGGATTTTAGGCTGATCACTCTTTTAACTCCGCCCCAGGTTCTGCCACTCGTTCTCCCACATCTATGTCTATTCCAGATTTCTTTTTGAGAAAAGCGGTGATTTCTTCTTTTGAGATCCACAGTTAGTGATGGCCATTTGCACTGTTGGATCTCATAAGGGGTCTTTTCTGTTTTCCAGTTGCCTTTGCCGGGCTGGCTTTTGGCTCCTTCTACATTGCAGGGAAGCTGCATTGCTTTGCACCTGGTGGTCGAGGCCAATCCTGGCGTCTCTGCGCCTTCTTGGGACCCCTCTTCATTGCCACGCTCATTGCCTTGTCCCGTACATGTGATTACAAACATCACTGGCAAGGTGAGGGAAAAGTGTGTGTATATGTATGTGGGAAGGATGGTTTTTCTATCACTCTACAAGTCTCTTTCATTGCCCCATTGGTCAGAAGCCCAACTCTGCTTATATTTTGGCTGACAGCCATGTTTTTGAGTTTCATGATTGCAGGAAACTTGCCAAAGAATGGACAAACAAAAGAAACTCCATACATCTCTATTTAATTCAAATGGAAGGAGAGTCACAGGGCCATTCTCCAGTGGGGCATCTAATAACTTTCCCTTTCTGTCATATGATGAAACTGTTTTTTAAGCCTGGGCTTTGGTGGAGGTGGCGATGGCTTTGGAGTCTTAGCTTGTGCAACTCTGCTCCTAAAGAAAGGAATGGAGGGAGTGGAACCTTTTTCTGCCAAAACTCCTGCTCGACTCAGGCCATCCCTTACCACAACCACCACCCCCGTTGTAATGGTATGGCAAATTTCAGTGCATCCTCTGACCACACCACGAATCTTAATGGCCCAAATTGTTATTTTATGACTGTTTGAGGTGGGAGTAGCATGTAAACCCTAAAAAGTCAAAAGCTGGGGTGAGGACAGGCACTCATCCTGTCAGGTGGCGCTTGTGCCTTGAGTCTGGGCTGCCAGCTTTCCAGCTATCAAGCCCAGTGTCTTAACCACTGAGCCACCACACGGCCCAAACCCTACAAGAGGATAAATCAATTTCAAAACCAAATCACTCAGCCTCTTAGCACTGGGAAAAAATCCCAGCCAGCTCTGCCTTCCTCAGTGGCATGGCCCCTGCGCAAAGTTAAGACCATTGCTTAGCATGGG